AATGCACACAGGATCTAGACAGAGAGCTAAGAGAGAACTTAATTAAAATAATGAACAATTTTTCAGGAGTTTGTGCAATTACAATGCAGCTTATAGAGTGCAGCGTTAAGGAGAATGTCATGTACAGGTCAGTGTACAGAGTACAGTACTCAGGAGAATGTAACACAGTACACGTACAAAGTGATGCAACCATGAGCATGTACTTTACAAAAGTAATGGACTTGATGCAGAGTATGGCAGTCAACATTATGTAATTTGTACTGCATATTTCTGACTGCAGTCTGAATGCTGTGCCATACATTGCATACGTCTGACCAGTACACTGTGTATGCTAGGCTATACGTTACATACTCCTGACCACTTCTCTCTTCATATTGGGCTGTACATTACATACTACTGAACACTATACTCTGTGTTATATGTTATATATTCCTGACTGCTGTGCTGTATGTTATACACTTAAGGAGTGCAGAGGTCAGGAGTATTTAACACACTGCTGGTCAAGAAAAAAATGTTCCCCAGTTCAAAACACACCCCCCCAGAGAAAACCCGCCCATAAAAAAAAGCACCCTCCCAAGCAATTTTCCCATTAAAAATTCCCCTCAAGCAAATAATCTCCCTCTCACAATGGAAAATCTTTCTTCCTCCTCAAGCAAAATACAGCTCAGTAAAAATTCCCCTCCCCCAAGCAAGAATCCCCCCTAAAATAAACCATTAACCTCTGCATCCTTTATTCATTTTTTATCTCTGCATATCTCTTCAATTGATTGTGTCTGAAACCTCTGTGCCCTTTTTTCACAATTAACCTCTGCATCCCTCTTCCATCACCGAACTCTGCACCCCTTTTCCACTGCTCCTGTTATGATCCGCCAGGTGGTGCCTCAGGCTGCCAACTGACAGACCTACTCAGAGCGTGGGGTCTAAGCCCGGGCTGTGCTTTCATCAGGGCCCCTGATGGTGGGGATGGACTTGAAACAGTCCCGGGCCAGGTCACGACCTCCGAGCAGGCCCACCAGTGGCTGAGGAGACCTTTGGGGACAGGTACCGGGAGAGCCAGATATGAAGAGGATGGCGGCCCCAGCAGGGTAGTAACGGATCGTGGCCCGTGAGGGTAAGCGGGGTACAGAATCGGTAGGCGAAGAGTAGTCGGGTCACACACAGGGTCAGCAGGGAAGTCAATCCGTAGAATGGTCAGGGCAATCCGGGTCAAACGCAGGAGCAGGCAGAGTAGTCAGGACAATCCGGGTCAATCACAGGAGCAGGCAGAATAGTCAGGGCAATCCGGGTCAATCACAGGGGCAGGCAGCGTAGTCAGGGTCAATCAGGGTCACTAGACGGGTGCAGGAACTCAGGATCACAGGAGACCTTGCGGCAATCTGTGACAGTGCAGGGCATCTTTAAATAGTGCGCCCTGCACTGTCATTGGCCGGCTAGGACGCGCCCCCCCCGGCTGTCATTGGACGCCTGAGGCGCGCCCACGGCTCCTACTGCGCATGCGCGACGTCCTGTCAGCCGCGGCTCGCCGGGACCTAGTGCCTGTGTCCCGGCGCGATCTGCCGCCAATGTGCATGCGCGGGGGACAGAGCCGCGATCGTGGACCACGGAGCCGCGATCCCCTGACAGCTCCCCTTTGCACTCTTCATCCGCAGTACACCCCTTGTCCTCCTCCTGCCTCTGCACAGCTCATCCACCGTTTGCCTCTGTACCCCTCCTCCATAGCTCACCCCCAAGTCCACTAGGCACAGCTCACCTCTGCATTCCCTGTCTGCTGCTCGCTACTTTATCCTTCATTCGCCGCTCACCCCTGCACAACTCATCCACTGCTTGCCTCTGCACAACTCATACACAGCTCAGCCCTCCAGGCACAGCTTTTCTCTGTACCCCTTGTCCACAGTTCCCTTCTGCTTTGCTCATTTACAACTTGCATCTGTACCCATCAACCACAGCTTGCTTTTACACCACTCATCCACAGCTCACCTATGCAGCGCACATCCTCAGTTTACCTCTGCACCCCTTGTCTACAGTTTAAACCACTATCCCACTAAGCACAACTTGCTCCTGTGCCCCCTCATCCACAGCTCATGTCTGTACTCCCCTATCTACCACTTGCTTTTACACTCCTCATTCACAACTAACCTACATCTCTTTCACCCCTCATCTACAGCTCACCTTTACCCCTCAACCCCTTGTCCACAGTTCAAACCCCTATCCCACTAAGCACAACTTGCCCCTGTGCCCCCTCATCCACAGCTCATGTCTGTACTCCCCTACCTACCACTTGCTTTTGCAACCCTCATTCACAACTAACCTACATCTTTCACCACTCATCTACAGCTCACCTTTACCCCTCAACCGCTTGTCCACAGATCACCTGCTCACAGTTTGCCTTGTACACAAGTCACCTACTGCACAGCTCACCTCCACCCCCTGCACTCAGCTCGCCTTCACCCATTGGTCACAGCTAACTTGCACCATCAGCACACAGCTTGTCTGCTCCTTCTTTGTACATAGCTCACCCGAACCCCCATATAAGCAGCTCATTTGCTCTTCTTGCACCCCTTGTATACAGCTCATATGCACCACCTGTAAACAGCTAATTTGCACCTTAGTTCCCAGCTCACTTGCACCTGCATACACTATTGCACCCATCTCCACATTCAGAGGCAACTATCCCAAAGTATAGTCTTTTTCTTTTGTTTACTTGCTGCTGCTAATTCACACTTTCAACACAGGAGCAGAGACCTATTAAACATTGTGAAGAGCAGTGACCTCAGCACCAGATGCGGGGCACATCCCCCAAGTCCCCTGCACTAGCGATGCTCCTGAATAAAGTGTGTGTAAATCCTAAGTGTAACACACTGCATTAATACTGGTTGCAGGATGTTAATTAGTGTTCTGCGGTTCAGTCATACAAACTCTATTGAAGCAAAGCCTTGTTGATCTTGTATGCTGGCAGCAGGAATTCAGACAAGGAGTGAATAGACTACACTGCCCAGCAGAGATGGCAAAGGGGCACGAGTGTACATATTGAGAAGCCCAGGAAAATAAACGGTGATAGGCAGAGGGAGGGTGTGTGTATGGAGAAGGCATGGGAGAGCCATTTAGGGGAGAAGGAAAGAAGGACTGCTTACCACTGGTATTACTGACATGCAGGACAATCAATCCTGTAAGCAGGCGGATCGTAGTGCTGTCATCGGCTTTATTTCTTAATGGAGGGGCCAAGAGAACATGCCCGCCCCCCCCAACTAAGAGACTACCTCTTGCACTGCAAAGGCTACAAACCAGGTGAGAGGTTTACATTACCCAGATCATCACAAGTTGCAAGTGACTGTGTTAATTTCAGTTGTTCAATTCAGTACACCTTACACCACACATTATCACACTGAGTCACAGACTGCCTAGCTCATCTGTATTATGGCCTACTGTTTTAGTGTCTCACTACAATCCTAGAACTGCAGGATTCTGGCTACAGCACATGTCCCTGCAGACAGGATAATCTTGCCTTCATCCTTTGTGTTAAAGAAACCTTACCCAGCTTCAACATCACTCAAATGGGGAAACTTTCTGTGGCTACACCATCTTGAGGACATCTTACACAAGAAGGAACCTTAATGTGCACCAACTAGAGCCCCATCAAGTGTGCAGAAGATTTGTCACTATTCTTTAAAGAGATACAAAAGGGGACACTATTGCTCAAAACAAAAAGTATTTGTCTCAAGAGTTAAACTCAGTTACCAGCCACTGAGAACCCAAAAGTGAGTTAGCCTGACAACTTGATAGTTCACTTCAGCTCACTTGGGGAGAGATATCTCAGGAGCTGGAACTGATGTTTAAATTCTGATCCTGCAAGACATTTGGGTTTGCTTAAAGTGATACTGTGCCTTATTACTTTGTTGAACCTTTTAGAGTGTTTAATTTGTCTTTTATGCACATCTACTGTCATTCTTGTTGTACTTTCACCCTTTATACTCTGACCTCAATACATTTAGAATATTTGCTCACCTTAAACTGTGTTTATTTTTTGATTTAATGCCAGGGAGTCCTCCTGGCATAAAAATACTCAGTGGCCTCAAGAAGGTAGCACTACATAGAAATGAAGTTTTCTCATTTGCTTCTCTTTCATCTGCTAAATATTCAATTGACAATGTTTTATATTTGTTCAAAAAGTGCAGCATGTTTTTAGAGTTAAAACATGGGGAAAGGTGCATGTATTCCAGAGATGTACTAGATGTGTTTTTTCCTTAGTTTACCTTGACATAAGCTTTAAATAACGTTCAGTTTGGTATGCCTTAACACATTCCTATTTCTGGTTACCATGTGAATTTTTCTATGAAGAATGATCAGTTTCTTTCCTGTGGTTTATGGGTCAGAATTCAAGTAAAGATGTGCAGAGGGAAGCATGAAGAAGCAGGTGCAATGAGTCTTCCAAAGGAATCAATGGGCAAGTCAATGATAAAAATAATCATTTGACCTCTCCAGACAGCAAATGTCAACACTTGGGCACAGCAGCTGTAGAAACAAGGGAAATGCTACTAAGGCCTATGATTCAGGTTATTTGCTTTTTTATAAAAATGCCACCTAGCAAAATATATTATAAGACATGAGCTTTGATGGTTCTAGCTACTTAGTGATTACCATTTTCCAGATATACACTACTGAATGACTTATTAGCTTACTTAGGCAACCCACAGTCGAGTCAATTTTTTTCATTAGACCTGTGGGTTGAATAAAAACAAATGACCCAATTTGTGTGGATTGGGGAATTCTGCCCACTGAGCTATTGTATTCTGACAGCGTGGAGACTTTCCCGCCATCAGAATACACTGATCAGTACTGCAAGCTATAGCTGGCGGCGCTGATTAAGCAGGGAAAATCCAAAAGGCTAGTTGTAAGAAGTCAATCTACCAATCAACTTCTGTACAAACAGCCTACCAAAATCATTGGATTCAGGTGTTCCAATCACCTCCATGGCTCAGGTGTAAGAAATCAAGCACCTAGGCATGCAGACTGCTTCTACAAACATTTGTGAAAGAATGGGTCGCTCTCAGGAGCTCAGTGAATTCAAGCGAGGTACCGTGATAGGTTGCCACCTGTGCAATAAGTCCATCCTTGAAATTTCCTTGCTGCTAAATATTCCACGGTCAACTGTTAGTGGTATTATAACAAAGTGGAAACAACTGAGAACAACAGCAATTCAGCCACAAAGTAGTAGGCCACGTAAAATGACAGTGCAGGGTCAGCACATGCAGGATTGCACAGTGCACAGAAGTCACCAACTGTCTGCAGAGTTAATAACTAAAGACCTCCAAACTTTGTGTAGCCTTCAGATTAGCACAACAACAGTGTGTGGAGAGCTTCATGGAATGGGTTTCCATGGCCGGGCAACTGCATCCAGGCCTTACATCACTGAATACAATGCAAAGCGTTGGATGTAGTGGTGTAAAGCACACCACCACTGGACTTTAGAGCAGTGGAGACATGTTCTCTGGAGTGACAAATCACGCTTCTGTGTCTGGCAACCTGATGGACGTGTGTGGCGGTTGCCAGGAAAACAGTACCTGCCTGACTACATTGTGCCAATTGTAAAGTTTGGTGGAGGGGGGATTATGGTGTGGTGTTGACTGCATAAGATAAAGAATATGAGGAATGCGCTAAATCTTTTAGTTGACCTGTGAGCGTGTTGGGTTCCACAGTAAGGCTCAAAAGTCTGACCACAATGAATAGGTCTTATTGCCGAGTCCCTGAGATGATCTCCTGATATGAAAGCACACCAATCCTGGCGATAGAGGATATAAAGTGATTTCGTGCTACTGTAAAGAGGCGCACTCCCCCTGGTGGTAGGAGACGGCAAGAGTGGTGCACTGGGGTTCCTGAGGGCTTTACGCTGAGGACCATTTGGCTGTGACCAGGAGTAGGTCATTATACTCCAATGCGCATTTACTTGCGCTATCTGGTTAGTGCATTTTACAGTTATTCCCCTATCACGGAAGTCACGGATTTGCTTGGATACACCCCAAAACTTATGACTTTAACATCCCTATCACTATAGGCACTTTGATGAGTTGGATAGATCTTCATTACTTATCTGACCATTGTTTACATTAATTTATGAATGTGGGATCTGGTGCATGTCAAAATATGAATGTTTAACTCTGCTATATATATGTTAATTCCCTGTATTATATACTCAAGCGCTGCAACTTTTTGTATTTGACTTATGGTGTGGTGTTGTTTTTCAGTTGTTGGGCTTGGCCCTTAGTTACAGTGAAGGGAACTCTTAAGGCGTCAACATACCAAGACATTTTGGACATTTCATGTTCCCAACTTTGTGGGAACAGTTTGGGGATGGCCTCTTCCTGTTCCAGCATGACTGAGCACCAGTGCAAAAAGCAAGGTCCATAAACACATGGATGAGCGATCTTAGGGTGGGGGGAATTTGACTGGCCTGCACCTCAATAGAACACCTTTGGGATGAATTAGAGCGGAGACTGCAGGCCAGGCCTTTTTGTCTGACATCAATGCCTGACCTCACAAATGCGCTTCTGGAAGAATGGTCAAACATTCCCATAGATACACTCCTAAACCTTGTGGACATCCTTCCCAGAAGAGTTGAAGCTGTTATAGCTGCAAAGGTTGGGCCAACTCAATATTGAACCCAATGGACTAAGATTGGGATTCCATTAAAGTTCATGTGCGTGTAAAAGGCAGGTGGCCCAATACTTTTGGCAATATAGTGTATATTGTAGAGCATGTACCAAATACAAGATAACATTTTTTAATTTGAATTTTATATCATTATACTTTCTTCATTTTCAAACTGAAAATGTCATATAGTTTTAATACATGCATATAAAAGTATATAGGCTTGGTTTTATTAGAACGACAGCTTGACAGATACAGATATAGCTATACAGACAAATGAAAGGTCACCGGAACAAGGTAATGCAGTACATTCAGATTTCTGAAATGATGCATGTGCTATGTCAAAGCAGTGTATTGATGGATCATTGTATCATCATTGGAACTTCAAGTTGTCTCTGCCAGCTGAGGGTTGTAAAGGTAGCAGGCAAAACAGATTATATTCCTTCTCCCCAGAAATAATTCAAACTCTTTACATCAACTTCAGTATATTCTGAGCTGCCTACTAGTTAGTTTAACACAACCACTGGAAGCCACCATAAAATTCTTAAAGAGGACCATAAGAAAAAAGGGAAGATTTAATGTTTAAGGGAACAACTTAAAATTTTTAATTGTGCATTCCTCATAAAAAATAGCAGCACAATTCATGTGTCCAGACACTTCTGCCTCTGACTGCTTATCTCACAAGATTTGACAATTTCACTCCTGTAGTGCTCACTGTTCTCCTTGCTTTATGGAAAGCTATACCTGATCACATGCAGGTTCAGGTCAAGGTTAGGTTCGCAATGAACCCAAACTGTTTATAGTTCATGCACCCCGCATAATAATGCAGCCATATTCTGGCATAGCAAACAACTACCGATAATTAGCTTCCTGGCCTCTGAACATTAGGTGGTCAGGTGTCTTAGAATGGCTAATAATAGGGCCTTTCTTATGTGCCAGCTCATTACTGTACAAATCAAAGTTTGCAGAAGCCAAATTGAAAATGTGCTTAGCTGGGATAGGGACAGCATAGTCATGCTCCTAATAAAGTGCACAGGGACAGGTTAGTGTCTGGTTTGTAGGCAGGCACTGGTATGTTAAAATAGAAGTAAACCCTTCAATGAATGTCCTTTAGGGAGAAAAATGCTGTGTATCCTAGGAATTTGGGGGTAGAGGGAGGTCAGATTGCTATTTATGTAGCACCCTCCTAGTAAGATAGGGTGAGCTAGCTGAATATTTTTTTCTAGACAGGAGGCTGAATAACAACCAGGAGAAATAGCCAGAGTGGTCAAATTTGGGCCATGGCTGAGAGGATCTGCAGATCAGCTCTCTGAAACCTCTCCTGATCTAGAGACTTGGAGAAGTCTCTAGAACTCAGTGGGTGGAGGTGAGGAGTGGCTGATCTATATGCTTAAAGGATCTCAACCAATCCCCAAGCAGGAGGCTTGGCAAGGGGTTGGGGCAACCTTTAAGCATAGGTGAGCCTGCTCAGTAGCAGGGAGAGTCAGGTGGAAGATGTGAGGAAAAGCTGAGATCCTGGAGCCTGGGAGGGGGCCCAATTGAAAGAGAACTACCTACAGGCTGGGACTTGGACAGGAAGATCGCTCAGCCTCACCAGCCCCCAGAGCGAGAACCACCTGTGGAGCCAATAAAACAGCCAGCCCAGCAGAAGGCCTGAAGGCAGCCACCTACCTACACCAGCTCACAGGAAAGAGACCAAGTGGGTAATCCTACAACCCCTGGGCCAGTTAAGTGGAAAAAGAGCACTCTGGTGGGAAACTTGATTATCTCCTTACCTGGGACTGTTTCATCTTAAAGTGACAGGCACCGGATCCCCTTGCCGAGGGATTTCTCTAGACAGCTGGATCGAGGAGAACTATCTGGGGTTTGGGGTGGTACACCAGGAGAGGCGGGAAAGCTCTCCAAGAAGAGGAACCCTTCCATGGGCTTGTACATAGTTGCTAAGGAGTTTGTCCTCAGTTGCAGTTCCCTTGGGCATCCCGTACACCCCTTACCCCATCCGAGTTCAATTCCCCAAGGACTGTTTTACTGTCTCTGGAATGCAAGTCTGTGTGAAGATGCGTGTTGCCTGGCTGTGCAGGACTATAGGGGGACCCAAAACAAAGTGACTCCTAAGGGGGTAATGCTGATGTGTGTCCTGCGGCTTCTTTACAGCTTCACCACATGCACCATCTTCAATCAGACCAGACTGCATGTGTGTTTTTAAAAAGGGCATATATTCTATTTTTGCTGACTGCATTTTCTTTACAGTGTGTACCTAAGTCTACATACATTTTACTGCTAAACAGCTGCATGTACATTTTCATAGGGCATATTATTTAATTACAAACAAATTAGCTTGCGAGCCACTGAGGTATATTATGAAGGTATAAGTACTAGATCGCTGGTTAATAAGCCCACTCTCTTCTGATGTGCATTTTTAAGAAATTAATTTAAATATCAACCTCGCTCTAATATCCACAAAACAAATAAATCAAAAGTGCTATGTGCTTATAAATAAATAAAATATAAGAATAAATGGTGTATCATGATTGAAATTTGTGAAAACAAATAAATTAATATTAAACGTAGCTAATTATATAAAATAATTCATATCTTATTAATACATCACAAAATGTGCAATCCTTATGACAATGTGTAATGTGCAAATTTCCCTCTGTGAAAAACTTGTAATTTAATAAATAAAATAAAAAAGTTAATAAGAAGTGATAAATGAAAAATATATAGGGAGTGATGTTTTTTTAAATAAATAAATAATAATCAAAAAGTTAAAAAGTCTCTGAATAAACGACAATTATATCCCACTGTGCAAAATGAATGTCCAGCTTTGATGGATATACTCTCCTTCTATATGAAGATCTGATCTTTGCTGTGATGTTGAGAACCTGTGTGGCTGCAGGACTGTGAGGGATACTCCCTTCTTTGATCCACTCCTTAGTCCTCTGCCTTTGTATTCCTCGTGTATAACATGTAAGAAAAGGAATAAAAGATATGGTGCCTTATCCCAAGGGTAAAACAGCCTTTTATTGTGCTTCTCTATTGCACTCACATTTTAAAAGTAACAAAAGCGCTTTGTATATATAAAAAATTCCCGCAGCTTGTAGCTGAATCAAACGAACGGTGTGTGTCAACACACCCTCAGTACTCGCCGTATCGTTGTTAGATTGTGCGATGATGTCACTGCCCCTCCCCAACGCGTTGCGCTACAGGGATTTTCACAAATTTCAATCATGATACACCATTTATTCGTATATTTTATTTATTTATAAGCACATAGCACTTTTGATTTATTTGTTTTGTGGATATTAGGTTGATATTTAAATTAATATTATTTAATTGTTGCTCGCTGAAATATTTTTTTAAATATCTTTTTCATAAAAACAGTGTAAAATTCCTGGACAATGTGCATCAGCATGGAAGTTTATTTTTGAGAAAAAGGAGAGAAGCGCCTCTAAGTGCAATAAGTCTTTTAATTCAAGTCTAAATGTAGAAACACTCACATGTGTGAAGTAATCATAAGCATAAAAACCGTGGTTAACAATAGTTAACGGTGGGGTGGTAACCCGGGTGAAGAGCCGTCATCTCTCTGCGATGTGGGGAGGTCAGCTCTCGGCTGGAACAGCGTGGTGGCTGGAGGGGGAACAGCGGTGAGGCCAGCCTTCATGCACGTCCTCCCTCAAAGCCGGATGGAACGCACGCTGGGAACGCTGGCCGCCGTGATGACGTCAGATCCCAG